GTCACTAGTCACTAATGTTTTAGACATTGGCAATGGACCTCATTACCAATGTCTATTGGTCGAAAGTGAATCTGTCACCAATATTTCCAGCCAAAAATGAGATTCATCGCCAATGTACATTGACAATAGGTCTCCCAATCACCAATGGCCATCACTGACGGATTTTAAGACATTGATAACGGATTACCCCATCACCAATGCCCTATTTCCACCAGTGTTGACTACCAATATAATACTGCAAAGCAAACAATTTACAATATAAATTATCTGGGTGTATATAAATGCATGTGTGTTAGGAATTTGGAGATAAGCATAAGAAAAGTACCTATAAAGTATCGGATGTGTTCAATGCAACTTAACATGTTCCACAACATATGGAGGAGCACTGGAGGCATAAGATTCCTCGAAGTGTATGAAAACAGAGAAGAAGGAAGAACAAATTTTGAGGGGGGTTCCGCTAATGGGTAAGAGGTTTTTCACTTTCTTTTGTTATGTTTTCTCAAGGAGAATTACTCCTCCATTTATAGGGGCTGAACCCACTAACTCCACCCCCCAAGATCCGCCCCAATGAGAGATTTTCTGTCAACAAACCTTCCACGATCCACAATTCTCTCTACTGAGAATCGTTGATTTGGTCACCATGACCGAGTCAAGCTAACATCTCCCACTTGACCAAATTAACCAAGTGACATGCCTCCCACTATCCGTGAGATCGGATGTTTCTGCTTACCATTACTCCCACTATCCGTAGAGAGTAACTCTTATTTCATTATTCATGAAATTTTACTTGGACTTATTTATTCATAAGTCCCACCAAACTTACATGTTTGATAAAAGATTCTGCTGGTATTCCTTTTGTCAAAGGATCAGCAATCATATCTGTAGTAGGGATATAAGTCACTTTGACTTCTCCCTTTTCTACAATATCTCGAATATAGTGATACTAGATCTCAATATGTTTTCCTTTGGAGCTATTCGCGCCACTATTGATTAAGCTAATTGCTGCTTGATTATCACAATAAATATCAATAGGTCCTTCTAACAAATTGAGATCAAGATCAATCAAAAACCGTCTTATCCAGACAGCATGTGTAGTTGCCATACTACAAGCTATATATTCAGCTTCTTGCGTATATCTAGCAACACACCCTTGTTTCTTGCTACTCTAAGAAACAGCTCCTCCTCCAAAGATAAATAAGTGTCCCAAAGTGGACTTTCCATCATCTTTATCACCTCCGAAATCAGCATCGGAATAACCGAGGAGTTCAAGCAAATCGTCTTGATAAACTAATCTATGAGTCAATGTACCTCTGATATACTTCATAACCCTTTTAACAGCTTCCCAATGTGCTGGTCCTGGATTACTTTGATATCTACTGACTAGACTCACAGCATAAGCTATATCAGGTCTGGTGCACAACATTGCATACATCAAGCTTCCAATTGCTTGAGCATAAGGAACATCTAATGGCTTCTGCCCCTCTCCAGGGCTTTGCTCTTTACATAATCTCTTTCCCATAACCAACGGAGTTGGTGCCGGATTGGAATTCTCCATTCCAAACCTTTTAAGAACTGATCTTAAATATTTTTCTTGGTTTAAACTTAGCATTCTAGACTTTCTATCTCGAATTATTTGAATTCCAAGAATATATGATGCATCTCCCATGTCTTTCATCTCAAACTTTTCGCTGAGATCTGCCTTGGTTTTATTCAACATTTCTATGTCATTTCCAGCGAGCAATATATCATCCACATATAAGGATAATATAGTAAACTTGCTCCCACTTTTCAAGACATATACACAATTATCTAATTTATTTTGAATAAAACCAAGTTTAGTAACTGCATCATGAAATTTGAGATACCATTGTCTAGAAGACTGTTTTAAACCATATAGAGATTTCATTAATTTGTAAACTTTATGTTCCTGTTCTTTCACCTGAAAACCTTCAGGTTGTTGCATATATATTGCTTCCTTCAACTCTCCGTTAAGGAATGCAGTTTTAACATCCATTTGGAATAACTCCAAATCAAGATATGCAACAATAGCCAAAATAATTCTAATGGATGCAAATTTAGCTACAGGAGAATACGTCTCCTGAAAATTTATTCCTGCCTTCTGGTTATAACCTTTGGCAACTAACCGTGATTTGAATTTATCAATAGATTCATCAACACGATATTTCTTTTTAAGCACTCATTTGCATCCTATGGCTTTCCTATTTTCTGGTAGATCATATAACTCCCATATCTTTTTCTTTTCTATGGAATCAAGTTCTTCTCTCATAGATTCCAGCCATGAAGTTGATTCATGTGATTTCATCGTATCAGAAAAGGTTAAGGGATCTTGTTCTTCTATATTTGTATCTACCGAAAAACATGATGACTCACATGAATATAAATAGTAATCATCCATCCATGAAGGTTGTGTTCTTTGTCTTTTGTTGCCTACAACCGGTTGATTAGGTACATTATTTTCCATAGGTATTTCATCATTTTCAAGGTTAGGTTCATTCACAATATCAGGGTCATTAGTGGGAACAACACTATAATAATCATCATCTATTACAGTTAGAGGTTCTGTTTCCTCTTGAACTTGTTCCTCTTCCTCTAGATTCTCTAGAAATGTAGCATCTCTGCTTTCAATGAATCCTTTTTTTTATTGTAGAACTTATAACCTTTTGACTTTTCTGAATACCCTATGAATCTACACTTTATTGTTTTAAAATCCAACTTATCTCTAAGTTGACATGGAATGAGAACATGGGCTATAGATCCCCACTTCCTGAGATGACTCAAAATAGGTTTCCTCCCATTCCATAATTCATAAGGTGTAGATATAACTGATTTGGTGGGAATTCTATTTAAAATGTAGTTTGCAGTTAACAATGCTTCTCCCCAAAAGTTTTTAGAGAGACCAGAATGAGACAACATGCATCTAACTACATTTAATAATGTTTTGTTCTTTCTTTCAGCAACACCATTCTGTTGTGGCGTATACGTCATTGTTGTATGCTTTTTAATTCTATGCTGAATACAATAACTTTCAAATTCTTTAGAATTATATTCTCCACCTCTATCAGTTCTCAAAATTTTGATTTTCAATCCAAGTTGGTTTTCAACTTCTGTCTTATATCTCTTAAAGCAGTCAAAAGCTTCTAATTTTCTGGATATAAGATAGACGTGTGCAAACTTGGAATAATCATCTATAAAAGTAATAAAATATTCTTTATTACTATGAGTTTTGACACTTAGGGGACCACAAATATCCGAGTGTATCAACCCTAAAAGTTCATTGGCTCTATGTCCGCCAACAAAAGGTTTTCTAGTCATTTTACCAGTTAAACAATGTTCACATAGTGGCAATTAAACATTAGATAGTGCAGGAAGTAAGTTCATTCTGATAATTTCTTTCATTTTTGAAATACTAGCATGTCCTAGTCTAGAATGCCACAATTCAGATTCAGAAATATAACAAGACAAGTAGTTCAAATTTGAAATTTTATTATCAGAATTATTACAAACTACTGGAAGAATGCATAATTCATGCTCGGGCACATATTTACCCATAGCATACACTTTATTATTCTTACCTATAGAAACCCTGTAATTATAGAACCTCACTTCTAGTTCTTTCTTCATCAAGCTGGGAACAGAGATCAGATTGCGTCGAATTCCTGGCGCATAGAACACATCTTTGAGGACAAGAATGTTGTCCCCAAGATCCAATCTATACGAACCAATACCTTCTACATCGAGATAGGTATTATTTCCCATATAGATTCTCTGTTCTCCTTTCTTCAGCTCGGTGAATTCTACGACTTCATTCTTATCCTTTGCGATATGCCTAGTCGCACCTGAGTCGATCCACCAACCACTGATATCCGTCATCACAGCATTACATTCCGTCACACCGACGAATTCCCTTTTGCTAGTACCCCCTTGTTCTGGATGCTTATAGCTCCCTTATTCTCCTGCTTTTCACCTTGTGGGCAATTGGGTTTGAAATGCCCGAACTTTCCATAATTGTAGCAGGCTCCGCGGGGTACTTTCTTTCTCTTGAATTGCTGTGATTTCGGTCCTTGCGGTTGTGGTTTACTAGAACCAGGGTTTTTATAGCTTCCAGCATTATGTCTCTGGCGGACATAATTCAGCTCTTGCTGCACCATATTCAGTTTTGGTTCCTTCCTACTGGCTATTAAGTCCTGTTCTATCGCAGATTTAATGGTAGGATTCATGCTTAATGTGGTGGCAGCCACAGCAAGGGAAGGGGGAAGACTATTCAAAATGGTTGCCACTTGCATTCTTTCCGGGATTTCGGTCCCAGCAGTGGATAAGTCCTTAGCCATGACAATCATTTTATTTATATGCTCTACGACATTGTCTCCCTCTTGCATACGACAAGAATTATACTTATGTAAGAGGAGTTGAATGTTCACTTCAGAAGCAGTGTCGTATTTTTCTTTTATTGCATTCCACATATCCATGGAAGTTTTATAAGTTTCAAAAACTTTGATTAAATTATCTTCCATGAACATGAGCATAAGACTTTTCGCCTTTTTGTCTTTCGACTTCCACTGCTCAAACCCTTTCTTTTCTTCAGGTGTAGGTTTATCAGTAAGGGTTGGAGCAGTGGTTTCGATTATATCATCAATGTTGTCATGAATAAGAGCATATCCTATTTTTCTATGCCACATATCATAATTACTGTCATTAAATTTGTCAATTTTTCCTAGTTCCGATAGAACAAGTTTACTAGCCATTCGGTAGAGAACTAAAACTAAAATTCAATTTTAATTTTGTATAAGGTTGATATTTTGGCAAATACAAAAAAAAATTAGATAAATAAATAAATTAATTAAAATGAACCTGATTTTTGTGAGCTGATGAAAGAGGCTCCAATTTGAGCGAGTTTGTCACTTAGCAGTGTTGACCGAAGAGTCTGTTGTCGAAGCTTTGATGTTTTGAGAGCAAGTCACCTTCTTCAAATGCTGAGGTAGTGAGACCCGTGGGCTTTAATCTTGAATTTGAACAGGTAAGTCACGAGTAGGCCTTGAAGATGATCAAAGTGGGTAGTACACGTGCTAGGAGTAGGCTATGACACGTGATAGGAATAGGGTCACAAGACTATGAACAAGTCTTTAAGTCCGGCTAATAGGGGCTGGTCGTATAGATTGGATGTAGGACCCAAAAACAAAAAGATGTAGCCTTAACAAATTAAAAAAAAGAGGGAAGAGATGTGACAAGACTTGAGGAGGCTATAATGTATGCTAGCTGGACGTTGAAATTGTGGATGTAGGCTTTGTAGATGTAGCAAAGAGCTATGCTTGTAGATGTAGGCCTGTGGCTATGAACAAAAAGTAGGACAGATAAATAAAAGAGAGTAGACTGTGAACAATAGGACCGAAAAAAGAGAGTAGGCTTTTCTTCTTCAAAAAAATTGCTGTTTCTTCTTCTTCAACCGAACTTCTCTTCTTCTTCAACAATGGTCTGGACCGATGGCTTCTCTCTACTCTTCAAAAAAATCTTAATCCACCAGCTCTGATACCAGTGTATGAAAACAGAGAAGAAGGAAGAACAAATTTTGAGGGGGGTTCCGCTAATGGGTAAGAGGTTTTTCACTTTCTTTTGTTGTGTTTTCTCAAGGAGAATTACTAACTCCACCCCCCAAGATCCGCCCCAATGAGAGATTTTCTCTCAACAAACCTTCCACGATCCACAATTCTCTCTACTGAAAATCGTTGATTTGGCCACCATGACCGAGTCAAGCTAACAGACCTCACAAACACAACTCCATGTAGTGTTGCGTGGAACATTAAACCAAGCATACAGCTCGTGTCTTTGATCATTTCTGCAAAAAAGCTGAAGTTGGCATGATAGATCAATGCAGAGGCATATATCTCAAGAAAGATGGCATCAGAAATGCACGGTATACTATCTCCTGGCAGATTGGAGAATTTACCGTCACTGCAAGTATATCCAACACACTACGGTAGACAATTACGACATTGATTGCTTGTGTCAAATTACTAAAGTACTCCACTAGGAAGAACCAACAAAGCTGTAATTTGTTGAAACTAGAGGCTGAACTAGAGGAAGGAAGAGATATGATACAATGAAATTGAAAATCCAGTTCTGTTTGAGACCGAAGTGCAAGCAATTTGGTGGAGAGGTCTGAATCAATGGAGACAGAGGCGGAGGATGGCGACTGTGATGGATTGCCTGGACATGGTCCACAAGTCATTGGAATATGCATGGTCCATATTGTCAAGAAATGGAACTATATTAAGATGATGGAACTGCTTCCAAGTGTGATTAAGAGAGAGGAACAGAGGAACTGTTGCAAGGTTCCATATGTGATTTAAGGATATTTTGTGTACCCTTGAAGTCCAGTTCTTGTCATCATCTTTACTGCTTGAATTCTCGATAAATTCAGAACTAACATTGTCTATGTTGCTTGAACAACACTTGCATTTCGCATCTAGCATTTTCATCCATTGTACATGGTCAAGTCTCCTTGTTGATTTTGTTGAAACCCTAAGACAAGGATATTGGTTGGAGCCATGACATCCTCTAATTACAAAGAGGAAGCAATATTGTCTTTGTTGGGAAAGTTTAGTTGTAGGCTTGAAAGGTCGAGGAGTAGGAGGAGATAGTGATGCACAACTAATACATGAAGCCAAATAGTTGTTGCGGATGCTAGACATTGTACAAATTTTTTTTATGAAAAGAAGGAGAGACCTCGAGAAAGCAATATGCAATTTTGAGGAATTTGAGCATAATACACAAGCATATGAAATATTTGAGAGACTTTGAACTACTAGAGATTCCTAATATGAATAAAGAGTTTTTTTATAACTAGAAATTCTTATAGATCCGTGGTTGAACCTGTCAATTTTACTTATTGGTGAAGGAATAGTCGTTAAAAGCTGACAAAAAAGGAGGGAGCCCCAAAAATATTTGAACTTATGGAAAAACAAGATGCTATAACATGAATATAGAGTTGAGTTGTCACATTGAAAGGGGAATCCAAAATAAAATAATAGGTCATTTTTTTATCAAGATGCAATTTTGTCAATAATGGATTTTTATTTTTAGAAATATACCATGTTTCTTAGAAATTAGAACAATGCGGTAAAGGTTTCATGTTCTAAGGGAAACCTGAACAAAAGCTAATACGAATTGCAAAGCAAAAAACTCGTTCAAAGTGTGACTGGAAACCTTTCTCTGGAAATCTATCTTAGATTCTTTCGAGAAAAGGTTATATATGTTGCAAAGCAGAAATCTATCTATAGGAGGAAAACTAGCCCTATAAATTTTATTCTTTCTTCTCTCTCCTTATACTTTATGTCCTTTCTTAAACTCCCTAGATGGCTTATCAAGGCAATGAAAAAATGTTAGACAGGAATAAAGATGAATGAAGATTAAAATCACTTGTTACATGGGATAATGTTTATAAATTCAAGAAAGAAGGGGTCTTGATGTGTTGAACCTATTGAACTTCAATTCTGCAATCCTTTCTAAATAGACATGAAATCTCTTAGTAGCAATTCTCTTGTTTGAAAAGTCCTCACTTCTCTTTGTTCTGAGAATCAACCTAACCTTAGTTGCACATCTCCTATACTGCCTTGACATCTAAATTTTGGCATTTGACATTAATTCTATTAACCAAGCTTCAACATGCTCCGCGCAATAGAAGCTAAGGGAGGGCGCTACTATTAGATATTGGGAGGAAAAATGGTTGAGTAATTACTATTTGAAGAGTTTATTCCCCTTGACTTATAACTTGGCATTCTCTTAATAATGTTAGCCAAAGAACAGGGGATTGAGTCACTCCTGGAAAAAAAAAAGATAAAGGAGCAAACTTCTAATCAGTTTTTTTTTTTTTTTTTTTGGGTCGCTGTTGGTTTATTTTGTTACTTTGTTTGTGGGTTTATTATGGATGCTTAGAGTTGGGCGTGTCAGTTTTGATACTTTAAGTTTCTCTCTGTTTTCCTAGGGTTATATATTGACGATTAGCAAGAGACACCCGAATCATACAGTTGTTGTGTTACAAGTGACGACAAGGTCGTCTCCTTGTTCATCGTTTGGTATCTGTTTGTTTTTCTCTTGCTTTGATATCAATATCTAATCCTATTGAAGCCTTTATATAAATGCATTTTGAGTAGTGCTCCTCGCCCTATTTTTATCTTCCAAAAAAGGGAAAAAAAATGATTAGGATTCTCATTAGAGTTCTTATTTGTTTTATTTGGTCAATATGACAAGCTACCGGAGTTCCATCTAAGCAGAAATACAAAAGAAGTTGGATTTATGACCGTTAACTCAAAACAAATACAAAAGAAACGCAAAATAAAAAAATTAAAATAAGAATAAAAAATAATAATGGGTGGAAAAGTTATAGTACAGGGTTAGATAAGTATGAGGGAGAAAATAAAACCAATACTAAAAGAAACAAACGATGTTACCAGAACCTAATGCTGGAGCATTTGCTTAGTGTGGAAACGCAGAAAACGTACTATCAGGAAATATGACTTATTAAGACCCATCTCCGTGAATTCTTTACCAGCCAACGCGTCATATAGTGCATTGAGTTAATTTGTATCAGGTTATGACTTAACTAGTTGATAAGCAATGGGTCGGGTTATGACTTAACTAGTTGATAAGCAATTATTACAGCTAAGAACTATATATATATCACAGCTTATCGTAGGATGTGTTATTTAATTTAGGACTCATGAATTATAGGTAAAAGTGATCGCGGCCTTCTGGTTCATTTGGAACGAGAGTGAAATTGACATGCATTTTAGTACTTCAATGTAGAATAATCTACAATTCAGCCAAACCTATAGAGTAATCATATCCTATCATAAACTCCCGCACGGTGATCGGAAGGTTCTGAGCCACATATCATAACAAATAGGGGGCAGTGAGGTAATTTCACGGCCCCCATGTGGCTCTAGAGATCAATAGTTCATTTCTCTTGATATTCATATTTACAAATTCTTTTTAATTTTCTCTATAGTAGGAGATGTCTTTGTTGACTAATACATGGATGATGTTTCTTAAACCTATGATGAAAAGTTTTGTTCGGCGGTTTTGTATTGAATAATTAGTTACAGCCCAATTAATATTGGTACGCGCATGGAGATCGAGTTACGTATATCTATGCTGAGAAAAGCTAATACTATCTCGTATTCGTTTCTTGTAGTTTAGCCTGATTAAAGAAGTATATGAAAGGGTTGTATCTCCTTTTTTTTACCCCTTTAAAAAAAACATCTTTGCACTGGCATATAGTAACGGCCATTTTCTTCCATTTCTTTGAGATATGTTGAGAGTTGGGAGGAATTGCAGAGGGTGAAGGGTGCAATGCCGACATCCGCTTGGGGATCCGTCAACAAGCATGAGAAATGGTTTGATTAGAGAGGCCGCTGCCACCGTGGTCATCGGCATAAGAATCTTCAGCCCCGACGAGAGGCAGGGGAAGGATAGATCGAAGTTTACTAAAGCTAAAGCTATATTTTGATTTTGGGCTACTAGTACGGTTATCTCCAATATCTAACAATACTAATTAGTTAACCAGCATTAACAATTTTACAAGCACACGTACTAGAAAAATTTTACAAGCACACCTACTAGAAACTTTGGAAGAAAAACCGAGACGTTAGAGATTGACAAGATCTAAGTGTGATAACAGTATGTGCCTATGTTATATAGATAAATACATTGCCTTTTTCTTGTTATCGTACATGTGCACTGTTAGGTTGACTCGGTCATGAATGACCAAATCAACCACAGTTTCTCAGTAGAGAGAATCGTTGAGAACGTGAATTGGGGTTTGTTGAAAGATTTTCTCTCAGAATCAGTTTGAGGGGGATGGAGATGATAGGATTTCGGCCTATAAATAGAGGAGTAATCTCCTTGAGAAGATACAACGAAAACAAAAGAAGAATCAAGCCTCATACCCAATACCGGAGCCCCCCTCAAAGATAGTCTCTTTCTCCTGCTCTCTGTAATCCGATCACTGCCTTAAAAATCATGACATAAACTTGTAGTCCCTATGAGGAGGTCGCAGCAAATTGTTAGCATTAATTTAATTTCCTATCTTTTCAAACATTATATTTCATCCATGATCCTCTATTCTTTATGTGGAAAGTCTTCCACCTACTTTTTTTGGTGCTTGTGGAGCGCTAGGAATGTAAGGATCATGGATGCTTTGAGGGACTTCCAAGCAATTTCCAAGATATGAGGGACTAAGATCAAAATAACCCCTAAAAATGTACAAATATATCAATATTCAGAATTTGGCAAATAACAGAAGACATGGAAATTGGAAATGATCTATTTTATTGCTGTGCAAAATGGAGTAATTTTCTCTTTCGCACACCATCAAAAGGAGAACAAGAAACAATGAATATTGAAGTAAAAAAGAAAAAAACTGACTCCTCAGGCACAGAATTGAAATAACAGCACATAATTTACCCACCAAACTGTTTAAACTACAATTGTATAGGTATGCAGGCACCAGTAAAGCACTTAAGCACCATGGTTTTCAAAGCTAAACGGAAGTAGAATCAGAAACAAAGTTGCCTAAAACACAAAGTACACAAAAATATCACTTAAAACTCATAAAGTTCTTGGCAAAAAATGCAATTCAGAATTGCACAGGTCTTATTCGCGAAATCAACTCAAGATTCGCTTCCCATAGCCATCAAAAACTCGCCCTCACACACAACTTCCCCTCCAACATACGCCTTTCCTTCCATCTTGGCGATTCCAAAGCGTTTTTGCAATTTGACGAGTGTCATTCTCATTATTAAAGTGTCCCCTGCAATCACAGGCTTCCGAAACCTCACTTTGTCGATGCCAGCAAAGAAGAAGTTGTCGCGAGAGCCACCCACTTCTGGTTGTAGCATTACCAGGCCTCCAACCTGGGCCATGGCCTGGAATCACATGAAAAGTCCATCAATAGTGTATCCATTGTATATTATAAAATAATTTATATGTACTTTTAGTAAAGAAGGGTCAATTGCACATAGACCCCTGTAGTTTCATTTGGTAGACCTCCTGGATGAAATTTTTTTTGACACTTTACCCTCATACTCATTTATTCTGCATGGGGTTAATATCTGCCAAAATTTCACCCAGCACAGGAGTGCAAAAAAATTTCACTCAAACGGGGTATATCTTCTACAATGAAACTGCAACGGGTCTACGTGCAACTAACCCTACGAAGAAAGAAAAAGCAGTTGACTGTAACTTGTGGTTGTCTTGTACAAGTTTTGACAAAGAGGCTGGGGTTATCTTGTTTTAGTTACAAAGACAGCCTCACAAGCATAGGTGAGAAGTTATCAAATAGTGCCTAAGGTAGACATCAACTCCATTTACTCCATAGGTGAGAAGTTATCAAATAGTGCCTAAGGTAGACATCAACTCCATTTATATGTTGCCTAAGGTAGGGAGAGACACAACCCATAGGTGAGAAGTTATCAATCCACAGGAATTTTAACTATCAAATAGTGCTTTTGGTATAGACATCAACTCCTTTTACTCCAGATCAAAACAGCCTCACAAGCATATTGACTCAAAAAATGTCATTTATTTGAACTTGAACTATGCACATAGAAAAATGGTGCATATTTTAGGTAATATGCCTAGCAAAGCATAGCAGAGAAAAATAATAGATCAAGTAAGCAATGTTGAATGCAGCTAAATCCTGCATATGTTTTCTTTTGAATGAAGTCATCTCTTAAAGTTCAATTCTTTTGAATGAAGTCATCTCTTAAAGTTCAATTCTGTCCTCTGCTGCCAACACATCAACAGAGAGAATAAAGAAGGAACCAACTACCACTCATTAGCTTAAGTCGATGAAGCTAGAGAAAACATCCAACACTTTGGGACGAGGTTTTATCATGCACATGGATCAAATAAGTGCAACTTTTGCAGGCTACACTAGGCACACAGGCAATAGTGTTTATCACAGTCTATGGTTTGCTTTGCAGTTTACCCTTTAGGCTTTTTTGGTTTAAGTGAATATGAAAGAAAGGAAAAGAAAATTACAGAGAGAACAAAAGTCCATGGTTTGGTTAGAAAGAAAAACAAAAAAGAACATGAAAACGAGAGAAAGGCGGAGGAAAATATGTAAAAAAATTTCATTTCCGTTTTCTTCGCCAGCACCCCGCGGAAGTGAGGGAAAAATCATCGGGCTCGACGGCCGATGCGAACTCGACTCTGGAGACGACGTTCACAAAGGGAGTATCAGGTTCATGTGGGGCCCTCTACTATAAAAAACTGAAAATGGAACTTGGTACACAGGTTCCATGTGGGACCCATTAGAAGATGAATACTCATGAATTAACTTGGCACACAAAGTAAAAGAAAAAAAATTCTTCTTTGCTGTAAAAATATATCAATTTTATATTAAAAATATAAAAATTTTACATGTACTGCGTTATATTAAAGTTGGTGATTTATTGATTTTTGCATTGTTCACATAGATTAGTATTTTGTTTATACTGCATTTTAATTATACTGTATTGATTTTCTTTTTTGTTTAAATGAACTTCTACTACTTTTACTATTTTCATTGATTGAATATTGATAGTACAACACTTGATAAATTCTTTTTCCTCGGTGTGATATCTAATGATTTAAATTTGTACCGGATGTACATATTATCCTCGTTAAACATTAATTGAAATTAAGAATATTTATAACATCAATGAATTGATATAGATTATTGGATAATATAAATTAACTATATTGTGACCCAATGTTTAAAAAAGCGGAAGCACAAGGAGAAGCGCTAGACCCTTTGATGATGCAAGGCGTAAGCTTCAAAGCGTGAAGCGTAAACTTCAAAGCATGAAGTGTAAGCTTCATGACTTTAAATATTTTAATTGTAAATTTGTAAAAATCATGAACATATAGCATATAATGGCATAATAATTACAAATATATACATTCATGTCCTGATTAGTAAATAAGAATTATATACGTGAAGTATAGAAATAAATCATAATAAACTAAGCTACATCCATAACATATATATTTTATCTACACCAATGTTTTCAAAGGAGCGCGCATCACTGTGCCTCATGCGCCCTACAATGTGGGTCAATGGCAAAACGCCCCACATCTAATGCAACAGTGCTTTTTGCGCCTCGCAAGTGATATGTGCTTTGCGTAGGGCGCATGCTAGGCATAGCCACATATAGTTTTGTACTTCAATCAATCGGGCATTTTTACCCGATAACTTATATCCAAAAAGAAAAATAAAACTGCTAGGCCTTTCTAGTAGCCCGATTGAGGACCATAAATTCGCTTCAATATTAGTCTTGATTTTACTTTTGATTTGAAAATTTATGCAGTTCGCTCCATGTTGGATGTGTTAGCATAAGAAATTAAAACCTTATTTTGTGAGCATAAGAAATTAAAACCATATTTTGTGATTTCATAGTAGATATTGTTTATCTTGATAAATTTTTATGTGAAAATATATAAACATGCTCTTTTGTGCTTGACAACCATCTTGAAAAATATGTGTGTGGTGTGCGCCTTGCTTCACTCGGGCGCGCACATAGCTTTACGCCTTGCGCATGTACGCGTAAAGAGACTTTGCGCCCCATATTGCGCCTTGCGCATTGATAACACTGATTTACACTCACATAGTCATATCGAAAATATATAGGGGCGTTGTACTGTAAGTCAAAGATCCTTTTATGTCCTACTATCTAGTCTTAAGCGTGAGCTTCAAAATAAAAGCGCTTTATGAAGCGCGAAGCGCACAGTTCAATTATGCTTTAAACAATGAGGCGTAAGCTTTAAGGGATAAGTAGCTCCACTCTTAAGTTTCGAACCGTTTACCCATCAATAAGTTGTGAAGCAAGTTTCGAAGTGAGTTTCAAAGAAGCTTTTTCAAACATTGGTATCATCTATATCCTTTTTATTTTTTATTTTTTTGTTTTTGAACCAGCAACAAGAAGCTTGGTTATCAACCTTTTTTTTTCAAATTCTTCTTCTAATTGTCATCCTACCCGAACATTGGAAAGCATCCTATTTCACTTTCTTTTCTTTTCCTTTCTTTTCTTTTTCCTTTTTCCCCCTTTTCATTAATTTCCCCTCAATCCAAGCACAGCCTTAATGACAGAGAGACAACCCAAATTTTTAAAGTGTTAATCTTTGGGCACTACTGACGAGACATTAGAGGTTTTAATGGAACTCAAGGATGAAAGTTCGCACAGGAGAAAACATGTTGGTTATAAACTTCTATTATTGCTTATTAGCAAACATCATAATAGACTAAAACTCAAAGTGCACATTTGGTATCAGAACATGAACATTTCTGAAGGATTTGGAGGTTAGTGGAATTCCTGTAAGTGTTAATGTAGTAACTCATCAAATACTATTAAAAAACAAGCACAGTAAAACACTAAAGGTCAAAATCTCAATTAAGTTAGATCCAAGAAAGAAAATCCAGCTAATCAGAATATCAAACTAATAAACACTGGAAAAGAAAAGCAAATGGGTGATTGACCTCATACCAACTTCTATGTTAATTGCATATACACACATATATTGTAATAGTAACTTAGTTTTAATTTACTTGATTATGTAAATTTCATGTTTATTTTCCTACTATAGCTATACTTGATTATGTAAATTTCATGTTTATATTGCATATACACACGTATATTGTAATAGTAACTTAGTTTTAATTTACTTGATTATGTAAATTTCATGTTTATATTCCTACTATAGCTATACTTGGTTAGGCTTGTATTACTAAAGAAACGGAGGCGTTTTTAAATACAAATTGTTAAACGATATAGAACTGGGTCTGGATGTCTCTGAAGCAAATTCTTAAAGGGAAACTTATTTAAAACCTCCCATACATTTTGATTAAATTTCACCATGACATTTTATAACTGACGCTGATTAAATGACAAAGTGAGCTTTGAGGTTTTAAAAAAAAACATTTGAGCCTAGGTGACTTACTAATTCATGAATAACAATCCTGTGCATCTAGGCAGCATGGGCATGGACATAAAGAGCGATATGACATAGCCAGTGACACAGGATGTCACCACTCAAAAAATAGAAAATCAGGACAAAATGAAACAGTTTATATTACAATTTATAATAATAAAGAGATCTTAAATGCATGCATATGTACATATTTTCATCTACACATGAGCCTAAACTATTAATTCTAATAATATTAAAGAATATAATGGTTACATCTATACTCTGACATTAAAAACTTGGTGGGGTAGAAAAATTATGAAGGAAAGAGAAGAAATTGTCCTTCATTCCACTGAAGAAATGAGGACAATTTTGTCATTTCACATGAATATTAAATGCTTCACAATTCCCTATGTACTGTTTCATACAATAATTGAAAACATTTAACAGATTCCCTCCCTAGGAAACACAATTAAGAAACTTAGAGAATAAACACTCTACAAGGAGATACTAACCTTTCAAATAAAAATTAAAATTAAAATAAAATTATGCAGTTACAAATATTAAACCTATGAATCTCAAATTTTCAAGGAAACTTTTGTATATCAAATATAAACTAAAGATTTTTCCCCTTATATGCGTATAGTTTTTAGGATGCAATACAATGGTGGATAACAAGTACTAATTTATATGTTTAATTACTAAATAAATCTTCAAAAATTAGAAATTTCAAAAACATAAAATAATGCACTACAAGTACAAAAATTAAAGAATATAATATTAACATTTATATTTTACTTTATTTTTAAAATATAATATTAACATTTATATTTTATTTTATTTTTAAAATCTAGATTATAGCTATTCATTTTTTTCTTCTTTAATATAAAATTTTGAAAAGGTTTTAATATCCAGAGCAATTACATGCAAAGCTGCCGATATATATTAAAGTTTTGACCAAAAATACATTTTTATGGATATGCAGAAGAACTGGGATTTAACTCTTCAACTTTATACAGATTACAAATTACCTACATCTAAGCATAACCTAGTTTATACAAGTCAACAATATTTATCAAATTTTTTGAATAAATAGTCTCTTGTGTATAAATGAAATAAACAGATATATCAAACATGTAATGTGAATAGAGAAGTGCACGAAAAGCAAATCATGTGTCCTAAAAAGGTACAATAAATATTTTAAATTAAAATGTGTATTATGTAATTGAGAAAAAGTTGAGTAAATATGTGACATGTATCAAAGGCATATCCACGAAAGTGTAGGTGTCTAACAAGGGCGTTGACATGAATGACTTACACAGGTACAACTACATAATAGAAACACAGGTGCTACATAACTGTGGCAGTACCACACAGTGAAGGAGGCCAAATGCACAATCCAATTATAACCCTACAAAATTTAACAACAACAATTGACGAATATAAGACACCGGACTTTACCCAAATACTTGATAATTACTTTGTTATTAATTTTTAATTAATCTCATAGATACAGATAGTTTCTAAACAGCTCCTAAGAACCTTTACTCTTCACTTGCACTAAATACTGTAATCATTTTTGTTATCATGCAGTCCAACTCATTATAACACAATTTGAAGTTGCAGAAGCTCAAATGTCCCTGAAAACAGATTTTTGTAGCAAGAAAGTACTCAAACAATGAAACAATGTTTTCACCAGTTCCACTTGAATGTAATCTTGTAGCCAGTACTGTTTGATCAGAATTAAACAGTGAAAGGAAGATGTTGGATAAGAACTTTTGAGCCTTATGGCTTATTAATTCGTAATCTAAAGCCTATCGGCAGCAACAAAAAACTACACTAGACATTCTAATAGTACTCCCAGATGTTTGATAGCATCAAATGACTTATATAAGCCACATTATGCTCACCCAAATACTGTGGATCAGTTTGTAGCTTCTTTTCTATTAATATTTGCTTAACCTGCACCCATCCATAACATAATACACATAATTTTTATAAAACAGCTCCTCGAAACTTTCAGTCTGCACTTCTACTAAGAGCAGCATCCATTAGTAACAAATCTATAACAGATTCCAATTCATTCTCAGAAATTCCATATCTTTAGGCACTCTTTACCATTCTAAAGACACTATGATACAAGACTCTATTGCCAGTAGCACAGCTTCATTTCCTCTTCCTGATGCAGGTTAGGAATCATGCACTCATCGACAGTTTTCAAGGTCTAAAGCATAAACTCTATTTCGGATTCATGTATACCGTTGCTTCTATAAATATATTTGTCTTTCCTGATGCTCATCGTCCACACTCATCTGATCTGAATTCTAAGATGATGTTAGACCGTCATTACTTCCCATATTCGAAATGTGTACCCAAGTATCCTTAGCAATCTTTCTAGCACTTGCGCCTCCCAGCATTAAAAGGGATGGCATGATCATAACATAACATAGATACACACTACCAAAAAGTAGCATACATCACCTAAAATATTCACCCTTACAACTCAAAGAAAAGTGATGGGACTTTTAAAATTGCATGACATTCCAAACATTACCAAAAAATGGAATTTCTATAAGGCTAACATGGACGACGAACCCTTTATCAAAAGTATTCTCAGGAAGATTTTCATTAATTCTCTTACAGTAAGATATCATCTATATTTATAACCTAGCATTTCCTTTTCCTTTTACTCCTTCAATCTATGTTTGTTTAGACCCGAAAATGATCATTCTCACTCCATCAACTTCACCTACCACTGATTTCAATCCACACAACTATTGTCAATATATCACATCTCTAAACCAATCCAAGCTATCCTCCCTCATCATCCATCAACAGTTTCCTAATAATGTATTGCAACTCATCCTTTCAACAAATTTTAGTATGGTCGCTCA